GAGCTACTTGCCGGCAGCACGGGAGCTGCTTGTGAGCTGTCTGCTCAACAGCACATGGGCTGCCTGCTCAACAGCTTAAGAGCTGCCGGTGCAACAGCACACAAGCAGCTCTTGTGCTGCCGGTCCAACAGCTCAAGAGCTGCCAGTCCAACAGCCCACAAGTCCTGCCAGTCCAACAGCCCACAAGTGCTGCTGGTGCAACAGCTCAGAAGCTGCCGGTGCAGCAGCTCAAGAGCTGCCGGTGCAACAGCACACAAGCTGCCGGTGCAACAGCCCAAGAGCTGCCGGTGCATCAGCACACAAGCTGCCGGCCAACAGCACACGAGCTGCCGGTCCCAACAGCACCTCAGCAGCTTGAGAGCTGCCGGTCCAACAGCTCCGGAGCTGCCTCCGTCCAACAGACTCGCGCACGCAAGCGCGCGCCGATTCCAAACAGCTCAAGAGTGTTTTGCAAGCACTTTAGAGCCCCTACGATTGCAGGCCCTACGGCCTCCAGCCCTCAAAATCGGCAGACCCTCAAATGACAGAATTCTGACCTAGGTCTTGAAACAAGGCCTGTCGCTGTCACAGAGTGGGAGTTGACAACACCCTCCCCAGAGACAGAATTCCGTTTGGAAAGAAGCATTTCCTTGTGTTTTGGGAGTGTTGTGTTGTGTTTGTTTACAGTTCAGAGAGCACTTGCTTGATTTGGTCGTAAGTTTGCACTGCAGCACGTCTATTGCCGGTAATGTGTTTTGGTACAACTGAAACTCCACCAATGCTGTCGTATTCAAGTTCCTGCGCTTGCTTATTGCTGCTGACTGGAGTTTGGTGGTCGTTTGCTGTTCTGTTAGCACGTCGTTTGCTCCTTTTGGAAGTTGTTCTGTCATTATCCGTAAAAGCAGCTAGAATTCCCACGTTTGACGTTGTGTGTCAGGTTCATGGTTTTGTGGAGGCTTCAGAGACTCCAAAGTAAGACCTTGTTTCGACCTTCATTTTGACAGATTTGACGGACTCATGTTCAAGGCTGCAAAACCCCTCGAAAACGTGGTGCACAGACCTTCCCAGTAGACAAATTGGAAGCTGAACTGCAAGGTCTCTACTGGAGAGGTCGCGCCCGGCGAAAAATTCAACCACTTGGAATGCAAAATGCGTGTTATGTTCCGAACTGAAGCAGATAGCAGAGAATCTTGCGAATTCGAGAAAGACAAGACCACTTGGAGCCAAAAAGGTTTGTTCCACAAAAAATGTGAAATATTTTTTTTTCTGAATGTTCGTGTTTTTGAAACAGCATTTTCTAGCAACATCATCAAAGATTCCACTCCAGCTCTTGGATTCTGCCACCCGTTGTGGAAACTGCGCTGATATTTTGCAACAGCACAGCTTTCCAGCAAAAGCTTCTGTGTGCGTTTTGCTTCCCAACTATCAAATGGCTCCGATGGCCGCAATGCTTTTGAGTGCCCAAAAGGATCATGTCTGGGTTGCCTGCCGAAACTCAACAGGATTGCTTTCTTGGTTGGTGTTAGTGGCATCACGGAGTAGAACTCCGTTTACTTCCGCAAGGAGAGCTCTCGAACAGCCGAGCTCCCACAATTCCCACTCGGACAGGAGTGTTGTCTGCACAAATACCATTTTGTGCGTTGCCTGACATGATGTAGGGTCATTTTTCTTTTTGATTTTGGCTCAAAAACTGCACTGAAGGAGTTTGGACTTTGCGATAATCAAGAAACAAATCGCTAAGAGTCAGCTCGCTGGACATCCACCTCATAGCTGGTTCGGTTGTGGGCATTGTACACTCGTTTGGCCCATGTTTCACTTCTATTCTACTTTTAGCCGGTGGTGCAGTCTTTAAACTGAACGTTTGTTGTTTCGTTTGTGCATTGGCATTCGAACCGGGGGCCGTGCTGGTATCAAGGCCGATTCACCCCAGAAAAACAGCCCCTCAACAAATCTGCAGAAGCGCGTGGATGCTGTCGTTGCGCAATGTGGAAGGTTTTTCTGACAACCCACAACATGTGTTAACAAGCAACGTTGGAGTCTGGAAAAACGTGCTTAAACACGACAGATGCGATTGCGTATTGTTTAAAAAAGCAAAATGTCTTAATCATGGGTTATGACAGAACAAACATTAGCTTCATCAGTTTCATGTGAAAACAAAAGCACCACTGCTGTGCTGAAGTAAAAAAACCAGTTCAGGGTTTTCGCGGAGAAGTGGTGCAAGCTACATGTAGAATCAGAATTATCAAAAACTTCGATGGGTGTGGCCGAGGTTCTTCGACGAAAATTTTTTTCTCCTTTATCTACTCTACTTCAGGTCCGCATTAATTGAATGGGTGATGGATGTGTTGGGCTGGGCTGGGAATTGCTTGCAGCAGACGACTAACCTCATGCCGTTTTTGGGCTCGTCCGCAGCATATTATCATTTCAAGGGACAGACGGAAATAATCCACCGCGACAAGCAAGGATGTTGCGACCGGATCATCTTTTCCCGCATGACTTGTCGAATCAGCACCATCAGGACGTCAGAGCTCGGTATCATGACGTTGCATCTGTTTTTTGCGGCTTTTGCCAGCTCTCTGCCTGCTGCAACGCATAACTGACTCTACGTTGCGCACTGTCCTGACTGGTTGCAAACGACCGGCTTGTCTCCTGATTCAGCACCAAGTAGCCACATGCCGGTACTGCACACGAAACAATGGGTTAATTCGATAATCCAAATCCCAGATCTCGTAACGGCCCTGCTTCAATTTTCTTGCATGTGGATGTCATTTCTACTTCTTGCAGGACCTGAGCCGCAATGTAGAGGAGCTTCAAGAGCGAGGCATCGGGGATTTATGGTTTCGTGTGTCGACGGGATACGTGTAGAAGGTTTAGGAGTGTATGGAAGTACGACGAGGATTGAAATTGGAACCAAACCGGATTAAGCCCTGAACTCTGAACCCCAAGCCCGAAACCCGCAGCCTTAAACCCTCGGAGCCAAGGAGTTGGAGAAATTTCAGAGCAATGTTTCAATTTTTCGGGCCAGTACTTCGGGACTTTCTCGTAGAGAACCTGTCCCGCTTTTGGGGTACTGTAATCCCAATACAAATCCGAAGGTTAGCCTTACTTTAGCTCGCCTAGGCAACTGCAGGGCGAACATGTAAATGAGAATGAGCCAGTCGCAACGCTAACTACGAGACATGACTCGTGCAGTATCTTATCTAGAACGGTCGAAACCTCTGACTGACATCTGGTTTTGTCATTGCACTACGGTGCACAAGCTGGGCGGTGTCCATGAGAAGCTTTACGCACCTGGTCTTGCGTTGTGCCCCATGCCTAAACCCTAAACCCTAAACCCTAAACCCTCAACCCTAACCTCTAGCCAGGATCGAGGTTCCGGTTTCTTCTGGGGGCTGACAAGATCAACTTCGAAATTCCCAACATCCTTCAACCCTAAACCACTAACCTTCAAACCTTGAAGAGCACTCAACCCGGAATGCCAAACCCCAGATCCCAAAATCCCAAAACCCCCAAGCCCCAGGCCCGAGAGTATTTCACCCCAAGACCCTTGAAGCCCCAAAATCCTTCGACTCCAAATCCTGGTAGGGTTTAGGGTTTAGGGTTTAGGGTTTAGGGTTTAGGGTTTAGGGTTTAGGGTTTAGGGTCTCTGCTCAGATCCCAGGGCTCTCTTCGCGCATGTCCAGCCGCAGCGGGATCGGCGAGCTCGTGCGACAAGTCTCCTCGTCGATGGGCTTGCCTGATGGACAGAAGGCCGGAGGAGGACTTGCGGTGATCATAAGCTTATAGGGTTTTGTGGTGTTCTGTGTACTGGTTCTACAAGGTTTCTTACATTTCTACAAGGGTTTAGGTTTTCTGGGTGTACCGAAAGTAAGCGGGTCGAGTTTTGAAGCAAGTTTGGTGATTCACGGCTGCACCCCAGACCCTAAACGCCAAACCTACCCTAGAGCTTCATGCCTATTGGTCAGATCCTGTGCTTCTGATGTCCAGATACACGGTAAACCAAGACTCGAGAGCTGAGTTCGAGATGCAAGATCAAGCTGCCTTCGCTTCTAAATCTTCACACGGCAGCCCCAAACCCTAAGCGCCAAACTGTGAAAACTACAGCCGAATACCTTAAAGGCCTGTTGTGACCACGTCCGAAGTCAGTGCAATGTACAGCTAGAGGAAGCGGAGCAAGTGAGGAGCCAGCAACATCCAACGGAACTGGCTCCTGAAGGAATGCCGTCAGTTGGAGTTGTGGGGTTTAGGGTTTAGGGCTCAACGCGAAACCCTAAGCCCTAAACCCTAAACCCTCAACCCTAAACCCTGAAGCCCCAAACCCTGAAGCCCCAAACCCAACAGGGCTCAGCCTTCATGGTTTTGAAGCTTGCCACAGCCAGAGAGGTGGAGGATATGCAGCCGGAGCAGCTCTGCAGTCTCCCCAGAAGATGTCTCGGAGGGCCTTTGGGGTTTAGGATTTAGGGGTTTAGGGGGGGTTTAGGGTTAGTTTAGGGGTTTAGGGGTTAGGGGTTTAGGGGTTTGGGCGTTTAGGGGTTATGGGCTTTAGGGGGATTCTGGGATAGTTTGTTGTGATAAAAAGCCGGCCCCTTGCTTTCTCGCTCGGGTTTCTTGGGCTCCATTTCTTTTGCTAAAGGCCGGGGTCATGGGTTTCTTGTTCGTGTCGGCCATGAATCTGCAGAAAGGCTGGAGGCCTAAACCCTGAGACACTTTGCAATTTTGTGAGTCACCACCGTCCTCCGAGGCGCCCTGCTGAAAAGCGATGCAGCGCATGGGCTTAGCTCCGGCAAAGCTGCCGCACGGTTGAAGAAGGCCCGCGAAGTGTTCACCCGCTGGGTTCAGGGTCAAACCCAAACCGGCAGGTTTCGACATACCTTATTTGCTAGGTGTGTGTTTCAGCTGCAGCAGCGGCACTGTAAGCACATGATTTCGTTCGGATCTACAGCACATGCACTGTATCACATCGTGTTTTACACGTTTGGTGTGTGTGTGTGTATATCTTCATACGCATACACACGTTAACACATACATATGCATGCATGGTTTATCGCCATACATGTACATGCATGCATAGATGCATACGTGCATGCATACATACATGCATACATACGTGTCTGTCTACATATATATATATATATGCTCACACCCCCCCAAGACCTACTGCGAGGTGCTTCGGCTAGCAATGGGTAGAACATGTAAGGACTTTAGATAACTATTCTATATGGTTAAATACAATCATACATAAGCAATGATAGCATATATCGGGCATAATTAATAGCTGAATACACTGTAATGACCACGGGTACGACGTCGCGACATCGCCGTTGGCGGATTTGGGCAAGCTTCAATGCCTGCACTTCTGTAACAGGATATTGCCTAAATGTTCTGGATATTCATAGTTCTGTTCACACAATGACGATAGGCATAACTCAAAGACGGGACCAAGACAGAACGATGTCTGCATCCTACATAAGATCGCTAAATGTGCCGGATACTGTTTGTGTTTATCTTTGTTTATATCTAATTCTGTTCATATAATCAGAGGCAGAACCCAAAGACGGTACCAAGACAGAACGATGTGTGCATCCTACCTGAGATCGTAATGGGGGTTACATGGGCACACCTTTTTATTTTGTGTGAATCGTTTAAGTTGCTCATGCGCCAATGTTTATAATAGCTGAGACTAATACGAATACTAAGACTAATGCTAATATTCCTATGAATAAAGATGTTCATATTTATATTAAGCCCAATGTTAATACTTGCATTAAGAAATACTAATACCAATTACCTGTATTAGTATGAATATTAGTACTCTTACGAATACTAGTACTCATAGTAATGTTAAAATTAATATTAATACTAGTACGAATACTTACATTAACAGCAACACTGATACGAATGTGAGTACTAATGTTCCTACGAATACTAATCATCAAATTCATAGAATACTAATGTTCCTACGAATACTAAAAACCTATTCATATTGATAGTAATCCTAGTACTAATGCCAATATACACACAAATTCTAACATCAACACTAGTATTGTAATGCCAATATACACACAAAGGCTAATATTAATACTAATATTGATATGAATATACGTAATAGTGTTCCTCCGGATATTAATGCTCATATTCTCACTAATTACTCTCAGTATTTATATCATTAGTAAAAAGTATCTGTACTCATATGAATGCTAGTATTACCACTTGATACTCCCGCCAATACCATTATGCATAGTACTAACTTCAGTACTGGTACTGATACCAATTGTAATGCTCGTACGAATACTACTAATCACGTTCAAATCGAATCCAAAAAGCACACCCATCAACATACCAAAGTATCTGTATTTTCACATACCAATGTACCAACATCAACATACCATTATACTAAGATATTCATATACTAAGATTCCAATTTGCCCATAGACCTACTAAAATGATACTATACACGAGTTACTACTCATACTAAGTATCAAACAAAGGCTAAGACCAAGACCAATACGAACACTAACTCTAACATTAACACTAAACATAAACACTATCATTAGTACACATATTATATAGACTTATATTAAGACTAATAATAACACTGACAAGGACATTGGCATTGACATCGACACTGACACCAACACTAGCACTAACAGTAACACTAATCAACACGAACAATAATATTAAGACTACTACACCTGTTGATGCTACTAATATTATTACCAACACAAAACAAATACTAATACTAACACACATGCCTTACTGCTCCAAAAGAATCAGTACTAAGATTAAAACTACCAATGTTAGCCCTATTATTAAGACTGAGATGAAGAATAAGACTAAGATTAAGGTAAAAACCTAAGACTAAGACTAGTAAATACAATTACATGCTGCGCGCTGTATTGGCTCTAAGGCTTAGAGAACCAAAAGTCCAAGAATCCAAGAATCCAAAACCTTTCTGAGGGGCCCGAAACTTTTTGATTTTTTTGTTTTCCTAGAGTTTTTTGTTTTCCAACAGAAATCCAAAAAACACATGGTGTTTTTGGGTTTTTCCAACAAAAATCAAAAACACACATAGTGATTTGGGTTTTTCACCAGAGACCGAACAAGAAAACCAAAAAAACCTGTGTTTTGTGGTTTCCACTTAAAATCCAAAAAACCATGTGATTTTCTGGATTTCTGTTGGAAAACACCAAAAAACCCAAAAGTTTCGGGTCCCGCAGAAAGGTTTTGGATTTTTGGTTTTTTGGTTTCCGCCGAAGGCACTACAAGACCAAAATCCCAAAATCCAAAACCTTTCTGAGGGGCCCGAAACTTTTGTTTTTTTGGTTTTCCTAGGGTTTTTTTGGTTTTCCAACAGAAATCCAAAAAAGCACAGGGTGTTTTTTGGTTTTCCAACAGAAATCCAAAAGACACAGGTTTTTTTGGTTTTTCAACCAGAGACCCAAAAAAAACCATCTGTTTTTTTGTGGTTTCCCACCCAAAATCAAAAAAACCATGTGATTTTTTGGATTTCGTTGGGAAAACCGAAAAATCCAAAAGTTTCGGGCCCCGCAGAAAGGTTTTGGATTTTTGGACTTTTGGTTTTTTGGTTTCCCCTGTCGTAACGTGTGATCTCTTGAACTGTTTCTTGCTTGTGGGTACAGGCATAAAAATATTAGAGCGGATATGAGTAGGCACGACGTTGTAAGGATACATGACTTCAGATCAGCCATGAAAAGTAAGGAGAAGCTATCATCCATGAAAAGTGTGCGTTTTGACGGCACTTACACTGGAAAAGAAGCCGAGGTAGGTCATGGGGGGGTGTGTCTATATATATATATATATATATGGTCACCCCTGCCCCCAAATGCCCACGCCCAAGTTGATCAGGTGTTACATTTGCTGCAAGTTCTACAATCTGCCTGGGTTCAGGCTTAGTGTCAATAAGCAATGTTTCCCTTAGTCCAAAAATGTCTTGTCCTGATGTGCAGCATTTCTGCAATTATCACATCACAATCTAAAATCCAGAACGAAGCAGTTCGCAAATTTCCAAAATTTCAATTATTTCCTAAAGTAGGGGAGTGCAGGTGATGATGCTGATGTTGATGACGGTCTTTGTAAGAGGGAACTAATGATTCAATTTGAAGAACTGTTTAACAATCCAAACAGTACCGTGGGCTTTGGAGGTGCCGGTGGTAAAAAAATATATATGTTTTCTTCTTTACATATCTATACAAACACACCTGCGTACACATGTGTATGCGCACATGCATACACACATGTATGTATGTATGTATGTATGTATGTATGTATGTATGTATGTATGTATTTATGTATGTATGTACACACACGAGACACAGGACACACACACACACACACGACACGTGTACAGCGCAATGTGAGAAGTTGAGCTTAGCATGTTTGGGAACACCCGCGCTCAGCTCTGACCCCTAAGACCCAAAACCTCACCCAAGATCCGCATGGAGCCCCAAGCCAGGAACCCCGAATGCCCTAAACCCTAAGCCAAAAATCGTCAACCCCAAGCCCTTGCCCCCTAAACCCTAAGCCCCAAAGCCCTAAACCCAGAACTCTTGGGGAAGGATGGGCCCAACCAGCTTGAGCAAGAGCCCCGGCTCGGGCTTTTCATGCTCTTCATCCTCCAGCTCACAAGCCGGGGCCCCGGCCGGCTTTAGGGGTTTAGGGATTTGGGGTTTTAGGGTTTAGGGGTTTAGGGTTTAGGGTTTAGGGATTTGGGGTTCAGGGTTTAGGGTTCAGGGTTCAGTTTGAGAATTCAGGTATTGATGTGGTGTTTGGGGTCTGGAATGTGGGAGTTGGAGTTTTGGGGCGGAGTCTCCAGTTTGTCCTTCTCCTGTCAGCTTCGGGGTTTAGAATCCTAAGATCTGAACCTCAAACTCTGGGTACTTTTGCGTGGTGCCTACGGATGGCAAAATGTGGACATTCTACCATGAGCAAGCCTGGTGGGTCTATTGCACATGCCGTCCAAAACCAACTCGTCGTCGCTATATCCTATCAGAAACCTACATAAGTTTTACACCCTGACATTGAATTTAAGGCCCCTAAAGGCCTTGGCTCTTCTCCCGAAGGCTTCATTATAATCTTGCTCATCATCGCCGCCATCGCTTCCATCGTCGTCAATGCCACCAACGAGGGCAAGCGTGCCGGCCCCAAGCAGGGTTTGGGCTTCGGATGCTTGTTCAAGTCTCATTATAAACCCGGAGCCCTAAACCCCAAACTCTGGGCCCTAAGCTCTAAACTTTAAACCCTAAGTTCTCGACCTTGCTCTTGGGGTCCCTTCTGCTGTGTCTTAATGCGAGGCTGTGGCCCCGAGCAGGCATCAGGGGCCTCATTCTTGGGTGTTCCTTTACGGGTTCCTGTACGGGTCTCTTGGCCAGAGGTTTCTGACCGGGGCAATGATTTGAGGGTCGTTTGCTCCTGTCAGCGCTTCGCCCCAGGCTGTTGAGAACGCAAAGTTCCCTAGCCCGTTGCCCTGAAATCCCACTCCTCGTAAGCTAAATCACCCTACCTCAAGAAGCCGTCAGCATTGAAGCTTCAGTCAAACTCAAAATCGAGAACCAGCCGTGAATCCTGAAGGAGAAACCCCGTATGTCGATGACCCTTCAGGAGATGAAATCCTGTCCTACACCACAGGGATGGCAATCTTCATCTTGGTCCTTTTGAGCCTCGCCGGCAGCAAGGATCCAGCTTCGGTCAGGATAAAAACTGTATATTTCAAGCGATCTTTGTAGGGTTTCTTCTCCAGGCCGATCGCTTCAAGTTTTTTGCATCTAAGGAATGCTGGCATCGCGGCTTACACGGAGCGCCGTACGGGTTCCGAAACTCTGAACTGCACTGGGCCCTGCACTAACGTCGCTAAGCCACGCTTTCAAACCTACCCCGAGTCACCAGGCCACACTTTTAGGCCCCCCCCTGCCGACCGCTTCCAGTCCCGCCTCCGCCTCTGTGAATGACACTTTTTGTCCTCTTGTAGCACAGAGTGTTTCAAGGCTCCCCGCCCTAAGGCCTAAACCCGCAAACTCTAAATCCTAAGCCTTAAACCATAAGCCCTAAACCCATAAACCTCAAACTTCGGGACTCTGAGCCCAGAACTCCGCACATCTGGAAGGTTGCGCCAGGAGTGAGCAGAAAAGGTAATGATCCACCTGCTGCACAAATTAGTTCAAAACTAAGCGGTCCGAGATGGCTTCAAGAAAGGATGCTCATGATGCACGACCCTTGGTCGCAACAGCGGCATTTCGAGGGAGTCGGTGAAGATGGTTCCACGATAAGCCGTCGCTAGCCCCGCCGAAAGGCACTCGTAGCCCGAAGCATCCAGCAAGCGGTAATATTCGGAGTGAAAACGGGAAGTAACCATAGAAACTGGAATGATCACCAACGTCGTTCCTCAGGGTTCCTTGACCCGATTGCACTTCAACATACCACAGAAGCCTATAAAAACTGTTAAGGCCCATATACTGGCAGGAGCACCAAGCTGGCAATGCCCTGGACGCCTTGGCGAAGCTGTCGCAGCCAGAGGTGTCCGTGCTCCGAGACGGCGAGGTGGGCATGCCAACAGCTCTATGAACGTAAAGAGCACGCATGTCGTAGTACATAACATGCCAGTTGTATGTCATGCTGTTTGTGGGCAAATCTCGCTTTCGTTTCTGTCCCATGGCTCATGTGGCTGCGGAGTAGCAAACACCCTAAATCCTAAACCCCACGAAACCGCAACCTTGACCCAAAACCCGTAGTGCATGCACGTCAACTGCTGAACATTAAATTGACACCAAGCCTATATCCTAAACCATAAGCCCCTAGAGAACCCTTTAGAGGGACCCCAAGCCTTGACTTTCTTAAGTCCCATGATCCTCCAAGTAGCCAGCTGGGCTCGCATTTAGGAACTTAATTTAGGTTACCATAGCAGGGATCTGTAGTGAGTCGTATGGTTTCCTTCTTAAGGTAACTGAAATGGAACTCCTTAGCACGAAACCCCTAGAGGAATCTAGAGGAACCCTTAATTATGGTAGATGAGATTAAGCTCCTTAACGAAGAACCCAGAAGCAACCAAGGTCATGAGCATTCCCACGGCCCGGACCTCAGCGTGGCCTTGAGCGCGAACCTCCGGAGCCCCGAGCCCCAAACTCGAAACCTGGTTTAGGATTTAGGGCTTTGGGTTCAGGGTTTAGGGTTTAGGGTTTAGGGTTCAGGGTTTAGGGTTTAGGGTTTAGGGCTTAGGGTTTAGTGTTCAGGGTTTAGGGTTTAGGTTTTAGAGGGTTTCGGGCCTGAGCACCAAAGTTCTTGTTTAGTGTACCTCTGAAGGGTTCTCTCAGGGCCGGTTAAGGAGCTTCAGTTCTATATCAAGAGCCCAGAAACCTGTCCTGTCAGAATTATAGAGGGCTTTCATTATCCGACGTCGTGATTGGGTTTGATATTTCGTGAGCGTACGAACTGCGAGCTCAATTTGTCCGGAAGTATCCACCCGAGCCCTTCGAACACATCCCCAAACCCGAATGGTGAATACCTGCTAATCCCATATACATATGGGAGTTTCCGAAAATAGGGGACCCTAATATAGTACCCTAAATAATAGGATCCTTATTATAAGGACCCCAAAATAAGATACCCCTAATTTTCTGAAACTCCCATATACAGCCCCATAGAACTTCGGATGTAGAGCACCCAAACCGAAACCCTTGGCGAATGTGCCTATAGATGTCTGGACCCTCCACCCTGTACCCGAGAACCTAAGCCCCAAACCCTATACCAATACCTTTGGCATGGGAGCCTAGACCCTTTCTAAAGAACCCTCAATAGAGCCCTTCCATGGATCTCCCCAGCAAAGGTACCCTAAACCCTAAACCTCAAGCCCTAAACCCTAAACCCACCACCCCCAAAAAAAAACCATAAGCCCCGGAGCTGCCCCACAAAGGTACCCTAAACCCTAAACCCTAAACCTCAGAGCCCCAGAGCTGCCCCGCAAAGGTGGATGTCGTGAAGGGCGACGTGGTGCTCCTGGAGACCGGCGACGTGGTCCCGGCGGACCTCCGGCTCGTCGAGGCTGCCGACCTGCGGCTCGGCGAAGAGAAGGGGTTTAGGGTTTTAGGGTTTAGGGTTTAGGGTTTAGGGAGCAGTTGTAAGAAAGAAGCAAAATAAGGGTCTAAGTCTAAGGATTTCAAGACAAAAATTCGGAGTCTCGTTGCTTTCTTGAAGGATTTCGGGTTTGGGGATGTTTAGGATTTTACTCAAGGGTTTGAGGGTAGAGTTTGCGAGGAATTTGCAGATTTGTGGATTTTCAGGGTTTAGGGTGCAGGGTTTAAGTCCGTGCTTCAACGACCCGGAGACTTCGAAAGTGGGTCTTAAATCTGAACTTGGATCGCAGGAACCCCACTGATGTGCCTGTAGCCCCGGCCATCACCTACTTACCACAGAAGTCTACATTTCCTGTGATCCTAAACCTTAGACCCAGAGGCATCTGGTACCCTACAAATGCACAGTAGCCTCAAACGCCCGATCCACACATCACAGAAGCTCAGTGACTCAGAGGAAAGTCGATGAGAAGGCCCTCACCGGCGAGCCCGACGATGTGCTTGGCTCCGAGAAGGGTTGTAGACCCAGCAATAGTCCCTGGAAGCCCCCATCAAAGACCTACCAACTCCTTATAAACACCCTTTATGCAGACCCTTACTGGGTTCTTGTTAAGGGATTTAATTTAAGTTACCATAATAGGGAAACCATATTATTTACTATAGATCCCTATTATGGTAACTTAAATTAAATCCCTTAACAATCCAGTAAAATAGCTGTTGTATGATCGCCAGCCTTACAGGAAGCCGTGCAGGCGCCCTTAGCAGCTTCGGCTTCCTCAAACCCTAAACCCTAAACC